CACCCATCTGTAAGCACACTATGCTAATTTCTTACAGCAACATGTAAAAAAAATGGCAAGCAGCACTTATGAAAATACCTCGTGGGAGGAGAGCATGGTTGGCAAACAAATATAGAAAGTACACATTATTTAAGTAAAAATACAGTATTCTAAGAATACTATTATTCACTTTATCATAATCTCCTTTTAAGCCTTACCAATAAACAAGGAATCTCACTTACGTTTACCAAAGTACTTTAAGGATTTTAACCTTAGGATCAAAATTTATATTTGCTTTGAGATAACAACCACATCAGATACTGAGGATGTAAGTTACCTTGTCAACCACTTGTAGAAAGAAGAAAAAATAATCGTCAAACATAATTCTTTGTGAGGCAATTCCAAAGTCAACTGGAAAGTTCTGGTTTTAGGTACCTTCAGGACATTCAATTGACCAGTTGGAATTAGACCTATGATGTTTTGTTCTAGAAAAATAAGCAAAACGATCTATGTAGCCCTTGGGGCTCTGTCAAAGGTCTAGGGTTAAGGGGAAAGGAGGAGGACAGGAAAATAATGATGACAGACTAAATCTGTCCCAAGGCACCTCCCAGAGTTTCAGATAAGCAGTTAAAATCCATTTTATCTATTCTCTGACACAGCAAACAAATGTATACGCCACTCAAGATAGGCCACAAATGGCTTGCATTTCATTTTTCATAGAAGTCTAAAACAGTCAGCTCTCCCCACTGAGACAGGACTTTTTATCAGGGTAAAAATATATACTGAGATTTTCAAAAGATTCCTCACTCAGAAGGTTTCATTGTGCCAAACAGTGTGGAGAAGATGTCAGTTCAACCGTGGCACGAAAAATTCTGAAACCCCTGCATTTCACTCATCTTTTGGCTGTCGCATAAAAGGGCCTCTTCTAATTTTATTTTTGACAGTTTCTTCATTTCTTTTTTTTAATCAAGGACATGTATTTATCCTTGATTAATGAAGCAGTAAGATGATATAGATCAAACATTTTTAATGGTCAGTGCCAAGGAAAACATTTTGTACCCAAGAGACCAAAGTAAAAGATTGACCTCGATTTAAACCCCACAAAGCTTCATTGTATTAATGCAAAGAGAAGAACATGATTTTAGTGCATGATTGTGAGAAGATAAGGAGATTGTGTAGTTGTTTTCTCTCGCTATTAAAGAAAATCTGAATGCTTCTTAAAGGGACTTGGAGCAATTTTTCTTTCAAAAGCAAAAGTATTTAGCTGTTAGAGTGGTATGAACCTCCATTGAATCAACAAATATTTATTGGGTGTATTTTAATTGTAAAGCCCCGTGCTAGGCTCTGGATATACAATGGTGAACAAAACAGGCCTTCTCCCTCCTCACAGACAATAAACAAGCAAACAAACAAAAATATATAGTTATTCATTCTGATGACTGCCAGCAAGAAACAAATGGAAAGCTCTAATAGAGATGACCTAATTTAGATAGAGTGGTCAGAGAAGATCTATCTGAGGCTTTAAGATGAGCCCTAAAGAATGAGGAGGGAAGCCAACCACATCGATTGGATGGTTTAAAAACTACCATTTCTGGAGAATAGTCTCCAAGGGATGAAGTTATTATGCAGTTTCCAAAAACGCCTGAGAAAGTCAAGAGAAAATGTTTTCAGATTCCAGTTTGCTTGCGACAAGCAACCAATAGCTATAATTCTAAAACTCAGAGTATAATTTTACCACTGAAAAGCTCCTGTGGCTTTCCCACTCAAAAGCGGGTTGCTCAGAGAACTTCGGTAACAGAAGTTGAAGAACAATAAAATGTGGCAGAACAATTATTCCTAAAAGATTTTATTTTCTATTAATTGTCTTTTCCCCCGTTCCATATTATACTCACTGACATCCAACTAACTAATGATCTTATTTGGATTTTAGAATAAGGCCAATAGCTTATTTAATAGACATATTTATTAAACAAACATAGCCAAAGTTTATGTACGAGGTTAAATACCCAAGGAATTTGAACAATAGAATTGTTGTAAGGGGATTTTTAACAATGATGATCCATTAAGAAGTCAGTTTATTATAATTAATGAACTCTTTGCTGTGGTGAGCATGTGTGACTCACTGAGAGAAACTCAATCCATAAACAGGGTAGTCCTGATTATAATAGATTAAAACAAATCTGTCAGATACTCTTTTATATTGTTAAAAATTACACACACACACACACACACATAAAATACATATATTTATATAATGTACATATGTATGTGTATATATACACATAAACCCTCCCCCCCAAAAAGCACCCCTTGCCGTCTTGATTCTAACTCATAGCGACCCTATAGGACAGAGCAGAACTGCCCCATAGGGTTTTCAAGGAGCAGCTGGTAGATTTGAACTGCCAACTTTTTGGTTAACAGCCGAGCTGTTAACCACTGTGCCACCAGGGCTTCATAAATACAAACATATATACACATTTATGAACCTGTTTTCAAACACACATATGTGCACATATATGTATTTGAACACATATGTATATTTGAACACAGGTCAGTGATTACTGAGCTACTAAGCAGGACATATTCCACATACATAGACTGCAACAGAAATCTGAAAGAGATACATAGCAAGAATAAGCAGATGATACTGACAGATTTTTTCCCAAGTGTGATTGTGCTATTTAGTCCATAATTTTCTGCAAATGTTTTAACAAATCTTGATAATAACTGATCGTGTTCTATCCCATCTGTAGAACAATGGGAATTTCTTGGTAAATAAAAATTTCAAGTATTTTGGTTATTGAATTTTTTTCATTTTTAAGGAAATGAGTTACTATAGAAATTCTGATTTTTGGTGCAAGAATTAATAGGCAAAATATACTCATTGTGCTTACGTCATTAAATACAGTTCATGTAACATTATTTTCAAATAATTTCAAGATGTTTTTGATCAAAGCCAAGATAAAACATTCATTTAATTGGCATGGTATGTTAATATTAAATAAAAGGTTTCCTATTATGTATATCCTTTACAGAGTCCCTGGGTGTTGCAAATGTTTAAGTGATTAACTGCTAACCTCAAGGTTGGAGGTTCGAGTTCATCCAAAGTCACCTTGGAAGAAAGGGCTGGTGACCTACTTCCAAAAAAACAGCCATTGAAAACCGTATGGAGCACAGTTCTACTGTGACACACATCAGGTCGCCATGAGTTGGAATGGACTTGAAGGCAACTGTTTGTTTTAATATGCTTCATAATTTGTTTTTTTTTTTTAAATTATCAAAGCCAAACAGGCACATAGTTTAAGGAGCTCATATGAAAACAGCAGTCTTTTGCCCACTCACTTCCCATTTTCTGTTCTCTAGAGGCAATTCTTTCAATTCTTTATAGCACTTCTTTTGGTAATTACCTCCATGTCTGTTTTTAAAAATATGTCAATAGTGCAGTTTCTTGAATTTTCAGTGTAGATATTATCTCTTGATTTTCCACTACGGATGATGGTGATACAGCTTTCTTTAAATCTCTTCAGAACATTTAAACACATCAGGAATCCCATCAATTATACCTTTTGGAGAATCTCTCACAGTCTTCTGCCCTGCTCCAATGTGGGCTGGTTGCTCTCTCCATTTGGAGCACAGACGTCAGCCTGGACTCTCCACTCACAATCATTCATGGGACTCCCTTTGACTCTTTCCTAAATTTGATCCCCTTTGTTCCAGATCCCAAGTCTTCCTTAGTTTATTACCTTGTTCAGGTAGTTTCTTGAGAAACCGCATGCAAGTGTGTTTGAAAATGCCTTTATCCTCACATTTAATTGATACTTTAACCTTGAATAGAATGAATTTTAGGGTGGAAATCACTTTACTTCAGAATTTTGAAGGCATTTCTTCATTTTCTTCTTTGCCTTCATGCTGATAATCATAGATTTATATCTCCAATCTAGACCTTGCCTTGGAGATCCAGACCTGTGTACCCTGTATGTCCAATGGCTTATTTGACTCTCCTAAGATGTTTCAAAGGAAGCTTAGTTTCAATATGTCTAAAAGAGAATCTATGATCCTACTCCCTCAAACCAGGTCCTCTTCTAATATTTTCTATCTTGGTAGTGTCAGTATCCAAGTACATAAGCTAAAAACTAGGTTTTATGACACCTTTTTGTCTCATCCTCCATATCCAATCCTTCTCCAAGTTCTTTTGATATGATCTCAAATATCTGTACAATTCATTTACTTTCCTCCATAGCTTCTGCCAAGACCTCCAAGCCATCCACATCTCTCACCTGGACTAGTGAACTAGCTTCCTTATTCATCTTCCTGATTCTATCCTCCCATATTCTCTACCCCAATCTCAAGCTAATTCTTACATAGTCTTTTTAAAAAACTGCGAGTTTTCATACCTCTGTTTAAAACTGCCACTGGTTTATTTGCATTTAGGATAGAGGCCTAAACCTTTAGCTTTGCTGACAACATCATGAAAGGTGTGGCCCCTCCCTACCATGTCAGCGTCATCTCACACCATGGCACCGTCTGTCTCTCTGCACTTCAGCCTCATTGACAATCTTCATTTCCTTGAATGCCCCATGCCATTCCTGACACAAGGCCTTTGCACATGACCTTCCCTGTGTGTATTTCTCCTTTGTTCAGTATAACTACTTCCTTTATTCTAAGTGCTCAGCTGCTATCTCCTCCGTGTGAAATAGGTGCTCCATCATGTTTTTCTCTGTCATGATATACTGTAATTACTGATTTATACACTTGTCTCCTCACCAGACCACAAGCTGCTTAGAGCAAAGAAAAGTTATCTTTGTATCGCTGGGCCAAAACACAGTATCTGACACATAGCAAATGCTTTGTAACTATACTGCAAATAAATAAAATAGCTCATTTAATAGGAAGAAAAAACAAATTATCAGTGATAAAAGATATCAATGCTTTTATGATAAATTAGGAAATAGGTAAAATTTTCAAGAAAATATTTTTCAAAGAAGAGATATTACAGAAAATAAACTTCAACATTTCCTTACTTTCTTTGTTTTGCCCATTGCCTTCAGGATGGAAAGATTTAGGTCTTCAAGTGCTGCTAGTACATTCTCATAGTCACCCAAGTGCTGAGAAAAATATTCTGAAAAGTGAAAATATTGAAATAAATACATGTTTTGAATTTAAGTAATCATCAAACAAAAAATCAACTGATGATTTATTCCATGAAGAGTAAAACAAATTTTAAAAGTCAGCTATAAATAAAAACTGGAAGGTTTTCAAATAAGACTAACTGAGGTGTCAATGCACTCATTTTAGCAAATAAAAACAAACCAGGACTGTTACCATTATCTTGAAGAAATACGCTTTCCTACAAATAGGAAAAAATGAATCTAGATGTATTGGCAAGACAGCTTCAATTAAAAAAAAACAAACAAACTGTTCTCAATAGCATGTTATTATAGATCTCACCAGGGTAGTAATTTTAGGAAAAAAATTAGCCACCTTTTATTTTTTTCTCCTGGGAGACATTTCAGGAAGGTAAGCTCTCTTCAAGGTGAAGAATCAGTGATGCTGTAAAAAGCAAGAGAGAAGTCTCCTATGGCACCTTCCATGCAACTGTACCTTGCATGATCTAATTTTTTTCAGCAATTTTGGCAGCGAAAAAGACGCGTTCATCACATTTTTCAGTAGATAAGAATAAGTAATACATTGGATGTCACAAAGCAGCCAAGTGCTTTAACGGGTCACCCAGGGCTCCTCTTAATTACATATAAGCCATTTAATGTCACTGGGATAAATTTCAGCATATTTGATTGAAACTGCCTTAATTCATTTATATAATCCTCCAGAAGGAACTATTTGTTGACATTGATATTAATGACAAATGTAAAGTGCCATTGTCTGATTTATTAGTTAATGTATAGATTTCTTCAGAGAAGAAAGAAAACACAAGTGAGTAATAAATCAGTTCTAAACTATGGCTAACAAAATACAGTCTGCTTCTACACAGATTAAACATAAACAATATGTTTGTGGCAAAAAGTAAAATGCATTCCTAATTATGCATTCCTTAACAGTAGTGTATGCTGTGAATCACATCATATAAAGGTCTTTATAGGAAGGGATTAGTTGGAAGATAAATAAGAAATGCTTCAAATAACATTGATGAATGCTTCGAAATAACATTTTAGCTCTTGGTTACCATGTTGAATTTCTGATAGTGCTGACAAAGATGTCTGACCTGGTCTGTGCAATTACTTGCAGTAAACAATCTCAGTGGAAAAAAAAAAAAACCTCTTCATGAACTAGCAAGCAGTTGACATGACTGTAGAATGTTCATAAGCTGGGTAAATAATAAATACGAGAATAGAGTTCATATTAAGTTGAAACAAGCAGAAAGTATAAAAAAATGCACAAATGTGAAGTCATGCATACTTAAGCATTTTTATTTTAATGTATACCTTAAGGAAGATTGTGATGGGAGTTTTAAATGCAAGCAGACAGAAATATAAAATGGAAAAAAAATGGTGCTAAAAAAGTAGGGTCATGAAAAAATAAAACAAGAAGTAAAGCCACCTTTTAACATAAGTATGTATATTTGGCTTAATCAGTGAGGGTCCCTGGAGAGAATTTAAGCAACCTTTCTACCTTGAAGTCGACTTATGCACACATGTAGGTACGTGATGAATAAAGCACATGAGAAAGACAATAATAGAGGCTTTGGAGCTGACACCTATCTAGCCTTCATTCATTCACTCATCCATTTGTTCATTCCAACTGTCCAACTAGTTAAGAAAAAGCAACCACTCCTCTGGTAATATACTAGATAGCAAAGGATATTACTCTGAGAAGAGAGAGAATTTTAACACCCAAGTCCTCGATAGGAGGTTAAGCTGAGAATCTAAGGGTAAGACTTATTTTAAAGTGGTACATGTCAGAGTCACTCAAATTGTTTCAAAACTTAATCAACAAGGGACATATGTCTGGAAGCCAGGGCAATGGAAGTTAGATGAAAGAGCCAGAGACATTTAAGACAAATAAAAGTAGATAATTCTCCTCCACTTTGTCATGGTCAGTATCCATTTACTCTTTCCACTACTTAACATACATTTATTTAATGGCACAGTGGTTAAGAGTTTGACTGCTAACCAAAAGACTGGTGGTTCAAACCCACCAGATGCTCTTTGGAAACCCTATGGGGCAGGTCTACTTTGTCCTATAGGGTCACTATGAATCAGAATCGACTTGAGGGCAATGCCTTTATGTACCAGGTAGGAGTTTCTGGGTGGTGCAAAAGGTGAACGCGCTTGGCTGTTAACCTAAAGGTTAGTGGTTCCAGTCCACCCAGAGGTGTCTCAGAAGAAAGTCTGGCAATCTACTTCTGAAAAATCAGCCACTGAAAACCCTATGAAACACAGGTCTACTCTGACAAACATGGGGTTGCCGTGACTTGATGGCTCCATGGGAGAAAAGACCTAGTGATCTACTCCCATAAAGATTACAGCCTAAGAAACCCTATGGGGCAGTTCTACTCTGTCATATGGGGTCGCTATGAGTCAGAATCAACTCGACAGCACCTACCAGCACAGTCATGAAGAGGAGATAGGCATTCCAACAAACAACTGCAATACACAGGATCATTGTGATAAAAGACAAGGTGCAATCAAGAACAGGACAAGGAATGCCCAAATCTGCCTGGGGAAAGTCAGGGAGAACTTCATAGAGGGGTCCCCAACAAGGGCTGACCTACCTGATGGATAGGCCTTAACTCACTGGACAATCAGAGGGAGGATAACCCCTGTAAATAAAGGCATGGAAGCAGGCAATATCTCATCATGGTCGGAGGAGTATGTGTAATTGAGCACTGCTAGGGCATAAAGGACAGGGCTGGAAGATAATCAAGGACAGGAGGCAGCAAGGAAGCAGGATGCTAAATTTCAGTGGTAAGAGATGCTGGGTGTGTTGGAGGCATTCCTTCCTAGGAACTCTCAATTTTGTACTTGTGTCTAGGTCAGTGTTTTTGTCCATCTGCATCAGAATCCTCTCGGGTCCCACTACTCAACATGTGTTCTGTAGACCAGCAGCATCAACATCACCTAGGTACTTGCTAGAACACAGTATCTCAGGCCCACCAGACTTACCAAATCAGAATCTGCATTTTAATAAGATCCCAGGTGACTTGTATGCACATTGAGAAGCATTGCTCTAGAGAACTTGTTAAAAATGTGGTTTATTGAAAAAGTCCCAGACCTATTAAATGCAGATTAAATGTTGAGAACCATTATGGGCAATGGGAAGTCAAGAACAATTTTGAAACAGAGACTGACATCCTCAAATTTGTCTATTACAAAGATGATCTTGGATGCAAAGTGGAAAGTTTGGGGAATACTGTGATATCATGAGGAAAAACAAGGATAGCATCAGTTGCCGGGGTGATTTACAAAGGCCACATGCTAAACCATCAGCATAAAAGATGGAGGTCATACCAAAGCTTTGAGAAAAAATGGGGATAGGGACTTAGCATTTCAGCAGTATATCTGCAAACCCCAAGATGTGGCAAGGACAGAAGGAAGGTCAGTGATGGCCTTGGTAGTGGTTAAGCTGGGACTAATGTTTCATTCCTGTTATTGTGACTCATGTTTCTCATTTGAATCACAATGCCAGTGTGAGCTGGGCAAATGTGTTTTGTCCTTAAATTGTGGCATTAGAGAGAGAGAGAGAAAGATTCAGATCAAATATTGCTTCCTTGAGACCCTTATCTTTTCATAAGAGAATAACTTACTGGAGAAAAGATCTACTTTTATTAAAGTGTGCATGTGGGTTACATAGGCGTACGTAAAACAGTGTTGGGCCATGGGTGTGGAAATGTGGGAGAATCAACCCTCATCAATTTAAATGAAGAAACTTTGACTGAACTATACACATGCAAAATGTTGAATTGGCAAGTGTTTGTGTTATCTATAATTTTACAACAATAAAGAAAAAAAAAAGAGTTGAAGGAAAAATACTTCTAACATTTATTAAAAAATGAGAAACTTTGAAAAGTACAAAGAGGTTGGACATGGGGTTTAATGAAAGAGTAGGAAACTACTTATAAACAGATGCATTAAACAAGTTTTCTAACAGAAAGCAAATGATCTCCTCATGGATATTCACTGCAACATCTTCTCTAACAAAGTGCTAACCAGAAGTCAATTTCTTCCTTTCCTATTGTACCTAAGTGATACTGTAGCATCAATAAACTACAGAGTTTTTTCTATTCTGTACCTCAGTCCTCCAAGTTGTTTTCAGGTCTGGTCTAAGAATTCCAACTCAGAACCAGAGGACCCATAGCTGCCAGAAAGACCGCACTGGTCACTGGCCTCACAAAGTGTTCTCTTGAGTTCAGGTGACTCTCACAGTATATACCTTGCTACAATTCCCCAAGCAATATTCTAGATAGGAGAGAAAATAACTGAGATGGAAGAGAGTTAGAACACCCACACTCTGAATAGGGACATTGGTTGGGAATCTAAGGACATGGGTTATTTGAAGAGGTGCAGATCAGTGTCACTCAAACTGTCTTACAATGCAATCACCAAGAGATGTGCGCCAGGTAGCCACGGTTCAATGGCCTGGAAGAGGATGGCAGGGTCCTCTGATTTTCTAGGATCCATACCTGTCCCTCAGCACTGCCCAGGCTCTGACAATGCGAGCTAGTGCTGCCCTGCAGTCTGACCAGGGGTGCCCAGGGAAGAGCTACTGAAAGAAAGCTTGCAAGGACCTAATAACCTTTTTTTTCTGGGAGTTTCTTGTCCTTAAGTATTTATCAATCCTACTTGTACACTTTATCTAACTTTCACAGTAGTTCAATATTGGTAGACAACTATGCTTTCAGATCAAGCACCTAGCTACATGAGCTTTCATTGCAATTATTCTTCACCCATCTAAAAATATCTCAATATACTTAGCTACTAGGTTCAAGATTTGCGAAAGGTTTCTGTCAAAGAGTTAGGTTATGAAACAGTTATAAACTAGGTAGGGTCAGGAAAGTAATAATTATGCTCCAATGGGTTTTAGATCAGAGCTAAAGATGACACAAATACAAAACCAAAGCCTCAGTGCTGGAGTTCAAACACAATTAGTTAATTAAAATTGAGT